CATAATAAAAGCTCCGCTGCTTTCGAGCCGTGTGTCAAGCTCGTTCAGCAGCCTCGTTTCGCTTCGACGGCTTTCAGCCTCACCCTGCTTCATTCTACTACGTTAATAAATCATTAGCTCATCCATGAACATGATTTCTGCCCGAGTCCCGTCGGATTGCATCGGCTGTGGTGATGAAGACTACAACTCCCATGATTCCACACTCAGTCACGGCGTCATCAACCTACACCTTTGATTCTTTGTTTATTTTGAATACGCGCCCTCCAGCGGCGAAAATTACATATTGTGCCTTTAAGAGAGTGATCGGTTCAACTAAACAGACATTGTTGAATTTGGATTTAAAAATGCATCGTCAAATCAGAGATTTGAATCAGTTCACTGAATCAGACTGATTCATTTGATTAAGCTGATTCTGCGAAATGAATCAAATCTACCAAGCCTTATGCTGTTTGTTGCATCTGAAGTTTAAATGAGACTGATTCATACTGTTTGAAAGACGAAAACATCTCAATGCATTACAGTTTTCAGAATTCAGAGGGTTTGAATGTCTGCAACTGCCATGAAAACAATGCTACAATGCACAAAAACATCTCAATGTTCCTGAAAGTAGGCTTCATTTTCTTTAAACAAATGTGGTTTGGGGCTGTAATATGAGCTGGACGTGCTGCTGTCAGTCATGTGAGTGTGTCATACCACTCTTTGCTGTCGGCGTCACAGTTGCAGAAGTGTTCGGGATGCACACAGTTCTCCTGCAGGCCACAGGCGCACTGCTGACTGCCCGGCACCGCGCCACCCCAGTACATGTGCGCCTCACCCGACCGGCCCACCCACCAGCTGAACGGAGCGCCATCTGCAATAAAACACACACACAGCGCTCATCATCAGACTGACACAACCGCGCTACACTATCACACTGAGATGATGGAAAACAAACAGGCTTTCATAACTAATACGACTGAGTTTTTAGTCATTTTTCCATTACCAATGAATCAGTTGATCAGATCATTTGACCCTGAATTTGATGAGAAATGTAGATCTTGGTAGATCTGAGCACAGTTTGAGACATTTTGAGATGATGTGTAAGATTAGGTCTTTTTCTTATGAGAAATATTTAAGAAGCACAAAATGAGATGTTTCTACTAAAGTTCCGGAACATAAATTAAAATAGACACAAACAAGTCAATAGTTCACATCATTTGACCCCAAATTTGATGATCTCTGGTTTTTGGTTGCACACTTTGGGGTCTTGGCAAATCTGATCATAATTTGAGACATTGTGGGATGATGTGTGAGATTACTACGGTCTTTTTCTTGTGAGAAGCTGTAAATGAGATGTTTCTACTGAAGTTCCTCAAAAGAATTAAGAACAGACACAAATGAGTCAATAGTTCAGATAATTTGACCCTGAATGTAATGAGAAATATTTGAGTTTATACTGAGTTCTGGTTAGACACTTTGGGATCTGGGCAAATCTGAGCACATTTTGAGACATTTAGAGATTACTGGAGTCTTTTTCTCATGAGAAACATCTGAGAAACAAAAAATTAGACGTTTCTACTGAAGTTCCTCAAAAGAAAAAAAAAACAGACACAAATTGAGTCAATAATTGAAATCATTCGATCCTGAATTTGATTAGAAATTAGATTACTGGGGTATTTTACTCATGAGAAACAACCGAGAATCAGCAAATGAGATGCCAAGTTTCATCAAAAGAAATAAAAAGACAAATAATGGTTGCAGACTTTGGGGTCTTTGTAGATCTGAGTATAGTTTGAGACATTTTGAGATAATGTGTGAGATTACTAATGTCTTTTTCTCATGAGAAATATTTGAGAAGCAGAAAATGAGATGTTTCTACTAAAGTTCCTCAGAAGAAATCAGAACAGACACAAAAGAGTCAATAATTCTGATCATTTGATCCTGAATTTGATGAAAAATGTTTGCGTCCATATTAAACTCTTTGAGTTTTAGTTGCGGACTTTGGGATCTTGGCAAATCTGAGCACAATTTGAGACATTTTAAGACGATGAGTGAGACTCCTGGGGTCTTCTCCTCATGAGAAACATCTGAGAAGCAGGACATGAGATGTTTCTACAGAAGCTCCTCAAAAGAAATGTTTGAGTTCATTCAGAGATTTCTGGCTTTTGACTCCAGACTTGGGGATCTTGGCAAATATGAGATCTCCAAAAGATGTGTAAAATTACTGGGATCTTTTTCTCATGAGAAACATCTGAGAAGCTGGAAATTATGTTTCTACAGACACACAAAAAAAACAACATTTTATGTCATTTTACTGAATTTGATGAAAAATGTTTGAGATCGCTGACTTTTTGTTGCAGACTTTGGGATCTTGGCAAATCTGAACAAAATTTGAGACATTTTGAGATAATGCGTGAGATTACTCGGATCTTCTCATGAGAAACACCTGAGAAGCAGGATGCAAGATGTTTCTACAGTTCCTCAAAAGAAATAAAGATAGACACAAAAGAGTCAATAGTTCAGATCAACCGGTCCTGAATTTGATGAGAAAAGTTTGAGCTTATAAAGAGATATTTTTGTGATCTTGACAAATATGAGCACAATTTGAGACATTTTGAGATGATATGTGAGATTACTGAGGTCTTTTTCTCATACGAAACACCTGAGAAGCAGAACACGTCTCTATTTACTGTGCTTTTAATCTCATTGCTGTCTAAGAGAAAGCATTAAGATGTTAAAGAGATCTCATGAGTGATTTTCCATCAGTCTCGCATGCATCTGTCCAGGTTTAACCGTTCTTTTCATTACTATTCATCTGACATTTCCAACATTTCTTATTTACGCCTGACACTGTGTTCTCCTCGTCTCATCAAGAACTCTGGTAATGTGACAACTAATGGATGTAATTACCATGTGCGCGGATGTTTCGTGTTTATTTGAGAGACTACGAGAACTGTTATCACCCGCCTCGACCTGTGATAGACACCGAACCAAACCGCCCATGACAAACCCACACAAACAAACAAACAAACATGATAAAAGCTCTTTAAAGGTGCAAAAGCACATAATTAATCCACTCTAAAGGTGACTTTCAATTAATTTAATGCAGAAAAAAAAAGCGGGGAAATAACTGAGCTGTCCGTAACCAAGAGCATAACAATCAATTTGAGTCGTTTGTTTAAGCATCATGCGTCTGCGGATGGAGCGAGGTTTTAATAAGCCTGACCTTTCATAGGGAGGGGCGATCGATATTCCTAATAAAAAGGGCTTACCTGGTGTGTTCAAGAGCCTTGACTTTTTGCAGTGGTAGGAGAGCTCCTGCTCGCAGTACTCCGCCTGGGTAATTATCGCCTGGATCTGCTCTGCGTTGGCAGAATAGTTAAAGTGGGCTAAATGCTGATCTATCCCAGAGGATGCTTTTAATTTGGTGAGCTCCATGTTATTATGTTGGATCACCATCCATGCTTTATCTGCAGGGAAAAGAGGGATTTGAACGATGAAAAGGCGAAAATGACACACTATGTTTTAGCTCAGAGCACTGTCGATTTCACCTGTGCAACAGTCAACTGTCCTTCAAAAAGTCATAGAACATTCATAAAAAAAAAAAAACCTTAAGCATGTGATATATACTAAACAATCATAAAAATAAAGGTTCCTGGGTTCAAAGAATAGTTATAAAGAACCATTTTCGAATTCAAAATATTAATAAATACTGTAATAATGTATACAAAAGTATATATTAATAAAAATGACTAAAACACACAGCAATAATACTTACATTAGGTACAATTTAAATGGAAACTGAAAATACAAAAATAACTAATTCAAAATATAACATTTACTTTTAGTCATTTAGCAGACGCTTTTATCCAAAGCGACTTACAAATGAGTAATATTAATCAATTAACAAATTAACAAATATTAATACTATAACAGTATTGTCACACCTCATGGACTTGTTTTGTTGTGTTTTCTTCCCCCATGTGCTCTGTTTGACCTAGTTTCTGTCTCTGTTTGATTATGTCATTTGGTTCAGGTGTGTCTGGTTAATTATCTTCATTTGCTCCCATATTTAAAGTGTAGTCTGTCCTGTCTTCCTTTGACCAGTGTTGTTGATGTTACCCTGTGTGTTAGACCCTCTTCTTCGTGTGAATTACCATCACCATCGGCCCGTCGACCTCCCAGACACCACCAGACTGTGCTGGAGGGAGGCAATCATCCGGTGTCTGGAGAGCGTCTACCCCCGATCCAGAACACAGCCAGACCCCGAGCCCAGCCCACCATCACTCTATCCCGGACTCCACCTCGGCCCTTCGACCCAGCGGCTCCACCATGGCTCCTAGCTCCCTCATCTCCACCGTGGCCCGTCAGTACACCAGCTCCGCCGGGCTACCCCGTCCCTCCGGCTCTGCCTTGGTCTGTCGTCGACCATCCGTCGCCTTGGGACTCCACTCCTCCGGCTACACCTCAACCCTCCGTCCCTCCGGCTCTGTCAGGCTCCTCCTTCCCTCCGGCTCCTCCTCAGTCCTCTGTCGCTCCGGCTCCACCGCAGCCTTCCGGATCCCCGTCTCCGCCTCGGTTGCCGGCGCCATCTGCTCCGCCTTGGACCTCCGGATCCTGCCCATCGCCCTGGCTAATCTGCTCTCTGTCTCCACCTCGGGCTCCACCACCTGCTCCGCTGCCGTTGGTCAGACCCCTGGAGCCGTCAGCCCTTCCTCCACCATGGCTCCTCCCTCCGTCGGCTCCACCGTGGGTCGCCATCATGGCTGTGATCTGGGTCCTCCCTCCATCTGATCCACCCTGGTCTCTTCTGTCTCCTCCCTGGCTCCTCCCTCCATCTGATCCACCCTGGTCTCTTCTGTCTCCTCCCTGGCTCCTCCCTCCATCTGATCCACCCTGGTCTCTTCTGTCTCCTCCCTGGCTCCTCCCTCCATCTGATCCACCCTGGTCTCTTCTGTCTCCTCCCTGGCTCCTCCCTCCATCTGATCCACCCTGGTCTCTTCTGTCTCCTCCCTGGCTCCTCCCTCCATCTGATCCACCCTGGTCTCTTCTGTCTCCTCCCTGGCTCCTCCCTCCGTCGGGTCTGCCCTGGCTCCTCCCTCCGTCGGGTCTGCCCTCGCTCCTCCTGTCTTCTCCCTGGCTCCTCCCTCCATCTGATCCACCCTGGTCTCTTCTGTCTCCTCCCTGGATCCTCCCTCCGTTGGACCACTCTGTTGGTCGTCCTCCTCCAGGTCATCCGGCCACCTCTTGAACCTCATCCTGCCTTCCTGCCGGCCCTTTGCCATCCCCTGTCACCATCCCACATCCACTCCTTTATCCTCCTCCTAAGTCCCCCTCCGTCCCTCCCTTTATCTCTGTGGCGCAAGGTCATGCCTTCGGGGAGGGGGGCCAACTGTCACACCTCATGGACCTGTTTTGTTGTGTTTTCTTCCACCATGTGCTCTGTTTGACCTAGTTTCTGTCTCCGTTTGATTATGTAAAATAACACTGATGTGAAATAGGATACTGAATGAGAAACTATATATACAGTATATATATGTATGAAACCATGGGGAACTGATTGGATAAAGAAGGAAAGTAATTTTAGAGAAGGTTAGGAAGAAATACAAGACAAATACTTTTTAGAATTTAAACAATAAGTCTAGCAATAAGTCTAGCAATAAGTCTAGCAATGTGTATTAAGAAAGTCAATAGAGTTAATTTGGATTTCATATTGACTTTAACAAAGGAGAAGTGAGGATCTATCAAAGGTGACGTGATGCTTTTCTAAAGAGCCATTCAACTTCAAAAGCTTCTTCTGTGACATCAGGCCGTAAAAACTTTATTTGTGCGAGTGAACGTCACACAGACGGGCTCAAAGATTTATCTGTCGGCTTCTTCTAAAGTGTGTTTTTCAGCGAGTGTCACAGCTGACTTCCTCCGCGGGGTGTGACATGGTGCGTGAAGGATCAAAAGCTGTGGATTAAAGTCCCAATTACGGAGTGTTTAAAGGGATTTAATCACTTTGGCTTCGCTGCGTGAGATTCACCTGACATGTTGCAGTAGATTAGCTGAGGTTTGATGGGGCCGCTTCCATCCATGTCGATGTAGTAAAAGCCAGACGTGTTTCCTTTGTGTTTGTACGCTTCACACGACGCTTCGTAAATGGCTGTAAACACAGAAGCAGTAGGTTAGTGTGGAGAGATAATGAGGTGAAGCTGTTTACATTCAACACTGTGAATAATAACAGTAATGTACTTAAATGAGTGTGCGTTCACACTTTCTGTCTACGCATAAAGTTGAGATCTGTTCACACAACAACGTGTGAAAATGCAGCTCACATAACAACGTTGCTTTTTGTTTTCACACCCTGTAAAATGTTATTACATCTTAAACGGGATGGTGAGATGGTTTTGATTCCAGTACTTGAGATACTTTAAATGATCTGGAGAAGCTTCAGGACTTTTAGAAAATATATTTAGTTACAACCTGCTACCAAAAAATGAAACAATGATCTTTCCAGGAAAGATAGTACAGGTGAATGGGTAAAAAATTTATAATAATAGTATATCACCATACTTACCCAGTTGATCAACTACAGTAAATTAAGAAAAAAATGTTTGTATTACAAGTTTTCTGAAGTGTTATGTTTAAATATGCGGCATTATGTAGTAAAAATGCACTAATTCGCATACATTTCCAGAAGATAAATCTGAACGATGGATAAAGCCAGGTTCAACATTCTTGTTTAATTTTGTTGACATATTAGAGTTAAAGATTTTTACAGAGGGGATTTTGGATTTCTCTTTTTATCACTCCATAAATCATGAAATACTGTCAACAGCCAGAAAATAATAGCTTTACCATGTTTTAGGATTAAAATGTTAAATATTTATCAGTCGAGCGATATATAAACAAATCCTTCAGTAAAAACCTTCAGAATATAGACACAAACTAACTTTGAAAAAGCGATCATATATATACTGTGTATATACAGGTGCATCTCAATAAATTAGAATGTCGTGGAAAAGTTAATTTCAGTAATTCAACTCAAATTGTGAAACTCGTGTATTAAATAAATTCAATGCACACAGACTGAAGTAGTTTAAGTCTTTGGTTCTTTTAATTGTGATGATTTTGGCTCA